CACACACACACACACACACACACACACCATGTCGAACAAGGTCGGGCAGGAGTACGGAGAGGTTCGACATGCATTCGACGTGTCGGCGCTCAACACGTACCTCACCCGCCACGTTCCGGCCATTGCGGCACCGGTGACGGTCAAGCAGTTTAGCTTTGGACAGAGCAACCCGACGTACATCCTGTTTGACCGGAACGATGTGCGGTATGTGCTGCGCAAGAAGCCTCCCGGTTCGCTGCTGTCTTCCACCGCACATGCCGTCGAGCGCGAGTACCGCATCCTAAAAGCCCTGCACACCTACACCACCGGCCTGCCCGAGGGATCCAAGGACAGAATCCCCGTGCCCGAGGTCTTCTGCCTGTGCGAAGAGACGGCAATCGTAGGTACGCCGTTCTACATCATGCAGTTCATAAACGGCCGGATTTTCGAGGACTACCGCTTCCTGCAGCTGCCCAAGCCCGAACGCGCCCAATGCTGGGCCTCGGCCATCGACACGCTCGCCGCCCTGCACCGCGTCGACGTAAACAAGGTCGGCCTAAACGGGTACGGTAAAGACGCCGGCTTCTACACGCGCCAGATGAAGTCGCTCGCCAAGGTCAGCTCCGTCCAGGCGGCCATCAAGGACAAAGAGACCGGTCAACAAGTCGGTCCCATCCCCGGCATCGAAAGGTTCCTAAAGTGGTTCGCGGGCAATATGCCGCGCGATGAAAATACGATCGTACACGGAGACTACAAGATCGACAATCTCATCTTCCACCCCACCGAACCACGCGTGATTGGGATTCTCGATTGGGAACTCTCCACGCTCGGCCATCCACTGTCGGACCTGGCGAATCTGCTGCAGCCCTACTCGACCCAGTGCACCGACGTTGCCGGAATCTCCAAGGCGGAAACGTGGGAAAAGTCGCGCAAACAAGGCTCGCTCCTCCTAGCTCTCGGTGGGCTGGACGAACAAACATCTCCGGTCCCGCTCGAGGCGAGTCTGATCAAACGGTACTGCGACAAGGCCCGACGCGAGTATCCGATCCCCAACTGGACCGCCGCCAAGGCGTGGGCATGGTTCCGACTCGCCGTCATCAGCCAGGGCATCGCAGCTCGCAACGCTCAGGGCCAGGCTAGCTCCGCCCAGGCCAAGGTGTACGGCGCAAAATTCCCCCTCTGCGCCCAACTCGCGCTCAACATCATCGACGAATCGCCCCAGTCCAAACTCTAACCCCCCCACACACACACACACACTTGCAATGTCGCACGGCTTCTGAATTGTCTTGGTTTTCATTCAAGGCGCGAGTTGAGTAAGATCGAGTCGAGTGAGGGATGAGGGAGAGAGTTAGGCTTGAATTGGTTGGCCAGCTTTGTCGGCACCGGCAATACGGCGCGCAGCAAGGATCATCTCCACCACCGCATCCACACCTTGATCGAGCTTGACCGAGGTAAACACGGTAGGTCCGCCATCGCGCACCCTGTGCGCATCGCGCTTCATGACGCCCAGATCGGCGCCCACCTGATCGGCCAGGTCGATCTTGTTGATCACCAGCACATCGCTCTGCGTAATGCTCGGCCCGCCCTTGCGCGGCACCTTGTCACCTCCAGCCACGTCGATCACATACACGTGGAAATCCGCCAGCTCCACCGAGTAGGCTGCCGCAAGATTGTCGCCGCCGCTCTCGACGAAGAGCAGCTGCGTGTCGAACTGCGCCTGCAGCTGCTCGAGTGCGTCCAGGTTCGCACTGATGTCCTCGCGAATCGCCGCGTGCGGACATCCGCCCGTCTCGATAGCCCGAATTCGTGTCTCGGGCGTCAGGGCCGCATGACGTCGTAGAAACTCCTGGTCTTCGCGCGTAAAAATGTCGTTCGTCACTACTCCCAGGTTGAGCTTCTCGCGCAGCTTACGACACAGCGACAGCAGCAGCGCCGTCTTACCCGACCCCACAGGTCCACCAATGCCCACGGTAAACGCCCGCTCGCTCCAGTTGCGCGCCTCGTAGTTCGGCAGCTCCCGGTCATTAAACTTGCCCGGATGCTCCATGATATCGTGCGTGTGTCCATGGTCCCCTCCGGCATGCGAGTGGCTGTGTCCATCCGCGTCACCAGCAACAGGCGCAGAGTGGATAAACTCGACGCCCGTGTGCGCCAGTGCATCACTGGCCATCTTGAGCGCCCCCTCGCGCGTGGCGTTGCCACCAATGAACCCACTCTGGTGCACAAAGATACACCCCGGGATGCCCGTGAGCTGGGACAGCGCTTCGTCCCGGATCCCGCGCCACGGCTCCGGCAGAGCCTTGCGCGAGGTAAAGCTCTCCGCACTCACGGGTACGGCCTGCACTCGCCACTTGCCCGACTCGTCCGGGTACACCACATAGATGGCGCGCTCCGTGGGTGCAATGTTGAGCTCCTGCTCCAGCGTGAAGAGGTGGTCCTTCCAACTGGCAAACTGGTCAAAGACGAGCAGCTGCGGGTGTGTACGCTTGGCCAGCGCATCCACCACGATCTGACGTGCAGGCAGCCACGCGTTGAACGTGTAGTCGAGTCGGTCAAAGAACTCCTTGCCCGCCATGGCACTGGCGCGCTCAAAGCGCGCGTCCAGCTCGGCGTCGGTGGACTTTTCGTTCCAGCGCGGGTTGAGATAGCCCACGCGCGCCGACAGATCCGTGCGGCTCTTGTACTTGGGCTTGAGCTCGTTCGGATACTGCGCGATGCCGTTGTCGATGCCATCGATCGCCTCGACAAAGTCGTCGTACAGCTTGTGGTACAGCAGCTCCACCGTCTCCCTGTCCCTGTCGCCGAGGTTCAGATGCGCAGCAACGATCTCGCGCCCAAAGTGCTTCCACACCAGTCCGGCGCTCGACAGCTTCGTGGCGTGCTTGTCGTCAAACACCTCGTCGAAACCGCGCTGGTGGTGGTCGTACCTGTGCGCGGCGGCATCGTACGTGGCGCCGACGTCGACGACGATGGTGCCCTTGTCGATCGTGGCTGCATCGCGCGTGCGCGTGAGCGGCGCAGAGGCAAAGCGCGGCAGCTTGCGCAGAAGGTTGACCGCAAGCGCCTCGTCCGCGTGGAACGTGCCCGAGTGCGTGATAATGTGCTCTGTCATCGTCGTTGGCCAGTCCCAGAAGAAGGCGTCAGTCGAAGAATGATGGTGGAAGAGAGGCAACTTCAATCCGCGCCCCAGCAAAACTCTTTTTTTTTTCCCCAACTTTTCCTCGCGGCTCGTGCGCAAAAACAAATCGCCCTTCCTCTGCGCAGAGACCAACTTCCAATTTTTCCCGCTCCCCACCGCCTGCAGAACCTAAACCTTTTCTGCGCTTCGCAACTCACCATTGGGATCCATCTTGGACCTCTTGTTGGTCGTTGCTTCGGCCATGATGCTGCTTTTTGAATGGAGATAAGCTGCTCGAAAGGCTGGGCCCAGTTGCGGCGTGGATGCGAGCGTGATGGGCCTAAAAACGGGCACGTGCGCACGGAAGCACGCCAGAGGTCGTAGCGTTTGCAAAGACAGCCGTGTAGACAGCGAGAGCATGCAGTAAAGCAAGACAGTCCCAGCCAAGTCCAAAGTGCACTTCTGCTGCGAGTACAGTGGTGTCGATCTCGTGCCGACAATCGGGTGCAGAGCTGATGGTGGTCAGCCAGTGAGCCGTCAGTGCGCGCCGCACGGTCCGATATGGCGGAATTTTTCAACCCAATTTTTCAAGCTCGACGCACAGTCCACGCCACTTCATCCCTCACAGCGCGCAGTCACGATGAGAAACGAAATGTCCATGCAGCTGATGCACTGCATTCAATCACGGCGGCTCTTGGATGGGATGTCGTCAACTACAAAGATCACTCCCATGTCCTGCCATGCGGCGCGTGCTGCTGTATAAAGCCGTGCGCAGCGTCGAGCTCGTGCGCTTGGCCGTCGAGCAGCAACGCAGGCGCCTGCTCGGCGCTCTCCTCCAGGTTGGCCACCAACGGCGACCATCGCGGCGAGGCCGAGTGCATCTCGGCGCCGTTGTGAAGCGGCGACTCGAACGTCATGTTTTCGGCATGCGCCTCCATCTCGGCGATCTTGTCGGCCAGATCGATCGAGGGCGCTCCCACCGAGCCGCTGCCGCTGAGCGACACCCTGCCGTCAAACGAGCCCGAGCCAGACGTTCGTTCGTAGCTCGAACCGGGCAGCACCAGCGGGCCGGGCATGGGTTGCGGCTGGCGCATGCTCTGCCGCAGCCGCTCTTCGGGCGACGCAGTGATGGGCGCGTAGCCGTTGCGGAATCCAAGCGTCGACGGACCCGCTCGCTCGCGCATGTCGACGCCGGCGCCGCGGTCGCGTCCATCGTCAACCTCGTCGCCCTCGTCGCCGTCCTCATCGTCCAGGTCCGACGACAGCAGCTCTTCGCCTTGGTCGTCGAGCAGCACATCGTCGTATGCGTCGTCCGCCTCGTCATCCAGCTCGTCCACCGCACGCCGCGCTACCGACAGCAAGTAGACCATGATGCCGATGCACAAGCCAATGCCCACGAGGCCCGCCCACTTTTTGACGTTTTCGGCCGTCTGGGATGCCGCCGCCTCCTCCTTGCTGACGCCTTCGGCGGCGCCGTTGTAGGCGGCAAAGTTCTTGATGGATGTGCCGAGGCCGGTGTGGATGAGCAGCTTGGGCAGCGCGAGCGCGGTGCACGTGACGTAGGTGCGCATGGTGAGCGTGGGCGAGCTGGCGAGCAGCGTGTTCATCAGGTTGTACGGATACGGCGCCAGACGCACGAGGAAGAGCAGCTTGGGCTGCTTCTCGATGGCGCGCACCACCTTTTTGAGGCCGCCGCTCTTGTTGAGCAGGCCCACCATCCATTCGCGCAGCAGCGAGCGGCTGAGCACAAACACCACAATGGCGCCCGACAGCGCCGCAACGTAGCTGATGATGAAGCCCTGCCAGAGGCCAAAGGTGAATCCGCAGAGCATGATGAGCGTCGAGTAGAGCGGCAGTGGCGGGAAGGTGGTGAGGAAGATGAGCGAGCCGAGCATGAGCTTGCCGCGCAGGCCGAGGCCCTGGAGGTAGGCGGCCATGTGGTCGAGGCCGATGAAGACCTCGGTGTGGAAGGTGATGACGAGCGCGGTGCTGGTCAGGCTGATGCCGAGCCAGATGAGCAGCGGCACGTACGCCTGGAGCCAGGGCGGGTAGTAGCTGCGCATGCCCGTCTGCGGGTGGCGGAAGGCGTCGTCGATCGAGATGCGCGTGTCGGTGCAGTACTCTCGGAAGCGACGCAGCGCCTCGGCGGGCGATGCGAGCAGGCGTACAAAATGGACAAGTGTGGCGAGCCAGACCAATACGCTTTGGCGCCAGGTGCGTTTAGGCTTGATGGGGCGTGCCACTCTTCGCCTACGCCGCGGTTGGAGTCGGACGGCGCCGCGGCGTGCTTGCGGGACGACGATGGGCGAGCCGATGTGGATAGAGGAGTGGGTGGACTTGAGGCTGTCGGGCAGATGCATGTCGGTGCTGTCGTCGGCGGTGGGTTGGCGGTCCTGATGCTGGCTGGCGCGCCGCCGGGAGGGCGTGGCGGGACGAGGCCGGTAGGCGGCTGGGGTGGCTCTTCGCGATTCCGAGATGCCGGCATGCCAAGCAAGGTCGGCGCTTACGCCCTGGCCAGCATGTTGGGCATGGTCGAAAGCGGCGGGTGAGGTTTGCTTGTCGTGAAAGTGGGCATGGTTGCGCGTGTGGGAGAGCGAAGGGGTGAAGCGATTGGTGGCGGGCGGGATGGCTTTGCGACCGTGACCCTTGCCGGCCTCGTCGTCGCTGAGGCTGTCGTGATGGTCCGAGTGAGAGGCGTGCTTGTTGCGCGTGGTTGCTGGAGAGGAGCGACCGGCCATGGCATCCATGATGGACTGTGCAGCCGATACGGCGACGCGACCGATGCCAGAGTTGAGGAGGGAGGGCGAGGCGACGCGGTGGACGGCGGGGCTCCTGCTT